TTGCCTCGCGCGTCCCACACGCAGAAACTGAGCATTTGCTCAGAGAATAATGATCCAATTTGCTCGTTTAGAGAGAATAAAGACCTCTGCGCCATAAAAAATAAAACGACCGACTTTGAGTAAGTCTAAGGCGAGTGGTACAAATCATTAGCGATTTGGCAGGAACATTGCGCTTTTCTCGTACGTTGTCCGTTTGATTGCCTTTTCGAGTTATTCGCAGTGCTGCAGTCAGATCACCAGCTATGTGACAGAGTAATTTTCATGAGTGTCGAAAATTAATTGGTTGTGCATCAAGTAGGCTACATGATTGGCTTAAAAACTCGCGCCACTTTTTTATCCAATCAGAAGTGAAACCAAAACCAATCGTGACTCACTTGCACTCGTTTTCCCGCGCTTTGCGTCAGCTACGTGTAATTACTTCAAGCTTTGATTGGTTCACTGCATTGTCTGTGTCTTTTGTGATTGGCTAAAGTGATTACTTTGGTTTTGGTTTTACGACACTCAACTGAAAATTGCTCTAACTCATGATGGTAATATTTTTTGAAAAGCCACTGAAAAACTGCTGCAGAACTTTGGATAAAATCCTAAATGCGTGTAGTTTCGTTTGAAAATATTCGTGAAACTCGTTTTCGGCAAGCTTTCAAGTAAATTAGTTCGTCCAGTTATATGGCTCTTATTTTGGAAAAAAAAAAGCCTAACTAGGGAATTAATTAACATGCATTTAAAAAAAAATCAATTCGTGACTTGAAGTCGCTTATGGCTGCAACTGAGACCACAGAATTCTAATTGAGTAAGTTGTCGCTATTCACTCTGAAGCATGTAGCAGTGAATGTTTCACTGTTCCTGTTTGATGTTGTCAGTAGTTTGTGGTGGTGTTTCACTGTATTGTGTCTGTTCTACCAGTCCTTTCTCTTCTTTTACAGAAGCTGATTGTTCCTCCTTCACTTTGTCTCTGATCTCAGATCGAGCTGTCGCCTCTCGCTTTAATTCTACACAAAAAGATCACAATGCGATGAAACATTCCACAAGTGACTTGCAGAATCAAACAAAGGGTTTCCTAATAGCCACTTGCCACTTGTTTCGTATGCAGACTTTATAAAGACGACTACATTTGTGTTACATTGACAAGCAGGAATAACATGAAACGATTTCATAGGGAGCATGCAACACGTGCTACTGTACTAAAACAACGCGTGCAAAGATGAGAGGTGATTATCGATATAAAATGTTCTAAAATCACCAACTGAGGTAAGGTTTCTTGATGTACCACTACATTCTCAGAGCTAAAATTAAAAGAAGTGTGTAGTACTGATGAAAGAGAATTCATATTTTAATCTTAGGACTAAAGTCGCTGTAGCTTACTTCTCATGTGGTTTTTCATCTTCTCCAACATTCTGGGAGGTACTTTGAAGCCCTTGATCTCCTCCAGATTGAAACCTTCGTTGTTCCTGTTGAGGACCATTTAGAAATAGAGTTGTAAACTTCTAGAGTGTTCGCAGACCTTGCAGACCTTGTCTTTTCTCTAACATTACCGAGAGCGCAAACAAAATGAAACTGCGCTAGGGTAGCAGGGGAGGGGTTGGGTAAAGGGAAAAAAAGAGATCGCGCTCTCTCTCAAGGCTCTTTAGAGCGCGCTCGCCTCCCTCGCTCACGCTTCAGTGAGGAAAACAACAACAACAAACGACAATGGACAGACTATCAGCTTCGAAACTGTTGCACCTCGTTTGACAAAGTATTATTAATGAGACCTGGGCCAGCCGTTCATGCAGACAACAGCCTGATATAAAGTCAACCTCGATAAAACTGTAAAGTCATGTAAAGTAACAAGTGCTGACCTGTAGTCATGATGAACAGCCAGTTTCCTGATGTCATCAGCTATCATAAGAAATGCCTACAAACAGAACAACAAAGCTTGACAGCTTAACAAAATAAAACACAATGTTCAGGTGTAAGAAAATGTCCACAGAAACAATCATTTAAGGTTACTGGTTCCATCTTGTTACCTTGCCTCCCGTGATAGGCAGTTCATTCTGTTCATAAAGCCACAGTTTATCATCAGAGTCCCCTGAGTACTGTAAAAGACAACAAAGCATTTCGAAATTATGAACTGCCAGTGAAAACCAAGCATGGTTGTCAAGTAAACAGAATTTATGGCACTATAAACTTAAAAGGTCGTGTCATGGGTGACCAATTGACCAAAAAATTGTGTCAAGTTATAATATTTTCTATGTAAAATTAATGTCCACTGCATTCCCCAGATTAGTCAACCCTTGAACTCAAAGATAACTTAGTAAACATGTAGCCTTCTTGCAAACGATTAAATGTTATATTTAAGCGACAATACCACTTTACTCTCCTACAACCAATCCAACCTCAAAGACTTTGTGACAGCGTTTGCTGCAATGTTGCAAGAATAGCACAAAGTATTTACCTTGAAAAGTTCTGGATGTCTGTAGTAGAGTTTTCCTCTTGTTGCAGCAAAGCCAAGGGCCCTTTAATGAGAAAATAAATGATAAATTATTGCTGAAATACAAAGAAAACATAACAACTTCATTTATTGCCATGGAACACTTGGACTTGAATTATTAAGGGCGTGTGAACTTATTGTAAAACCTTGTTTTCTTACTCTTTCTTATCTATGTTTGTTTATTCAGTTCCAGGAGAAGTAAAGAATTTTTTGGCCACAAGAGAAATCAAGCCCTTTTTTCTCTATTCAAATATATGATTTCTCCTCAGAATGCAACATCATTATCAAAAGTTATTTCAAGGTTGGCAACAAACAGTAAACAACAAATAATATATAAAATGTCTTAGCAAATTAAGATACCAATTGAAAGTCAATCTTCATGCCAAAAAAAAAAAATAGCCAAGAGTTTCTAACACTTTTTTCTCCCCGTGAAATATCAGTCATGCCTTGCCATGATACATAATACTCCAAACTTACTTGTTTGCTTTAACTCCCATAATGAACTCTGTATCTTCATTGATGCTCTCAGGATCCCACTTTCAAAATAAAAGCAATATAAATACACATGCATGTAAAGCTTAAAACATGAGAGTTCAAGATTTTTGAATGGAATAAGTTTAACAGTTCTTAAAATCAAGAGAGATATTGACAGAAAAATAGGCTCCTGCATACAAGCCAAAATTACACACTTTCATGATCCAATGAGAAACGGCAAGAACAATGATCTATATGTTATTACCTCACTGGTGATAGCTCTGGTATCAATCTTGTTTGATTTAGCAGGTGATCCATCACTGTACATAAACAACACCTCTTAGTACAGTACATAAATGCAGTACTTTACTCAGATATAGATAAGGTAAGTGGTCAGTGGGTTGCCTAATCAGCTCTTATCAACCTAATGAAGATGATGATGATGATGATAAAAGATGCATCTATTTTTTCACTTTGAATAACCCTTTGCTAATAGACACACCCTCCCCCACCCCACTCCTGCCCCCAAAGCAAGACCCTCACATGTAGTCAAGCTTCCAGACACAATGCAAGAACTATACCAGTATTTTTATCCCCTTTTAATTACTTCTTGTTCCTAGGGTGACCTTCTCTATTCACAGATGTTGACTGACTTACAATCACACATACATGTACGTTGTTCATTGTGAAGTCTCTCTAGTGTCTTTGATTCTCGATACTGTTTTCATTGTCAGAAATATGTTACTGGTAACTGGCTCTCAGCTTTTTCCTTCTTACTGAAAGAACCCAGTTAAATGAAGCACATGCGTAGTAAGTCAAAAAATTTCGATTGAATGAAAATTGCACTCTCGGAAATACGCCTATTTCTCGAGAACCACTCATTAGAATTTCACAAAATTTGGCACGAAAATACTTTAGGAAATAA